TGGAACCTTAAATATCGGAAAAACAGCCGCAAATCTGGTTCTTCCCCCTCCTCTTTCTCCTTCCAAGCAGCAGCTTTTCTTCCAGTTTCTAGAATCAGCGTTGACAGTCGTGTTGCCGCTTGAAAAGGGCGCCATCTCAGCTTCTTCTAAAACAGAACTGTGTGACAGAGCTTGCCGTTTCGAGATGACACTAGTTTGTGTTGAACCTCACTAATTTTGCTCGGGCATTACCTCATCGAGGTGAAAATGAGGTATTTTATTGATTGGAATCCTCTTCATCACCTGTACTTATAGTCCTTCATCATACGCAGCCCTTAACTTGTTTTTTTTTTCGGCAAAAAAAAAATGTTCTAAAATATTGTTCAGAATTGATCTGGGGAAGAGGGGGGAGGGGGAAGGGGGGCTTAAGTGCTCTATTTCTAGCTTTTTTCTGACTAGTCCTATGTAATCGATCACCCTTTTGCATACTTTCCTGATATCTCTGCTTCTTGAAGGATTTAGAAGTACCGCTCCTAATGCGTTGCTTTTTGTTGTTACCGGTGATCAGCATGATCGAAAGCGATGACAGAATATCTGATGGATTACGCCGGTAGCGAAGTCATTTGGATACAGCTAGCATTTCTCAGCCGAAGAATGAGAGGGAAAAAACGAGGGATTTCAGACTCCATAGGCAGATCCAGGCGGGCCTCCTAGAAGAGAGGCGATAGGGGGTGGGGAGGAGAGTTCCCTTCCATCCTGGAACTATGCGAAAACTAGGAATAGAGTTGTGGCATTGCTAATTCGAGTTACTTTAGGCTTTCGTTTACTTTAGTTTTAGCTTTAGACCCGGACTTTTGCAGCATTAGTACCTGAACCTGAAGAAGGGAGTGAGGGGGGTGGGAGGAGGGACGAAGGGCTCATCCTTCCCACGTGGATCGGCCTATGTCAAAGTCAGAGCAGTAAGATGACCAGTGAATAATGTAATATCAGTAATACCAACCACAGAAAATTAATGAATTTTTCCTGGATGGTGCGAAGTTGCGCAGCTATGTGACATCATTTTGTGTCCCGAGAGTGGTATTTGACGCTTCCCGTTATAAAGGTGTGAAAAGAAAACAATGCTATTGTATAGATGCTGATTAAAAGGGG